CTCACATCCTGCACTGTCACGGTTCGACTCCCGCTGGGGGTGTTATTAAGACGAGTGGAATATAAACAAGGGAGAAGTTGTGATATGGTGGCATTGTGGTAAGAGGGTAAAGAGTAGATAGATAGGCCAGGACAGAAAGAGGAGTGATAGTGTAATCGTTTGCCACAGAACGTTTGTCGAAGGATTGACTTCACTTGTCTCTTTGACGAGTTTGTAGCTTGGTGCAGAGAATGGCAAAACTCACTGAGGATGCTGACTACGATGCCGGCGAAACGTTTGAGAATGCACCAAGTCCACTGTCTGATGCTGGGAATCATGACAACTACTATGGCAGATGACTTCGGACTGGGTGCGTCACCCTAACAACAAGATCAAGTTGCGACAACGAGGTCGACCCACTTCTATACAATACAAATTCGCATGCCAGTCAATTGGTCCTTCTGACAAAGACAAGGTTTACATAAAAGATGCGAAGAAAAGTTGGGTTTAGCGAAATCTGTTGGTTCATGATTATTCAGCTTATTTCCATTTCAAGTGAAGAGATTCGAAGGTTGATCCCACCCGAAAGCGACGGTGGATTCCTCTTAATAAGCTGTTAATTGGATTTGCTGCGACATTCTTGTTAATGCTGTTTTCGAGGAAATCGCTTTCGATTAAGGTTAAATTGTGTCAAGCTTTCGTCCGTTCTTTGACTGAAATCATCAGAGCAAAATATCATCCTTACGGCCATGAGAGAAACAATTCTTATGTGGATCAGCAAAAAACCCAAGCCTGATCAGCCTTGGTCACTTACGATTTTTCAATGACTAATATTCGAGTTTTTCCACAATCAGATAAGTAAGCCTCACGAAACATTTCTTAAATAATAAAATTTTGTCAGCTTACGCCACTTAAGATGATTAAAGAATGGTAATTAAATTTGCCCAAAATGAGCTTAGTAGGTCTTTGACTTATCCTTGATCCTTTTGAACCCATGACTGTGTAGGAGAATAGTAATGTTGCTATGATGCTTACGACCCGGGATCGAATCCTGCTGGTAGTGCCGATGAAACCCAGGCGAAATTAAAAACTGTAGCCTAGCCTGAATGAGAAAACCTTTTGGGGGGCAAGGGTTGATCAAATTCACTGACATTGCGAGACATAATCTGATTTTAGGGAAGCTTGCCTATCAGTCATTAAATCACTTTAAGCAACCTAAGGTTAGAAAGTTGTTATTATTGAGAGACTACTTGCGTTGAAAATTAGGAAATGAGTTGTAGATAGTTAAGTCTTGCAGTCAATCGGTGCATTCATTCTACATGGATGCATAAGGAAGTTGGCTATCTGAACTGGACCAAAATTGGCTTGCCATTATTACCTTTTTCTAGGATAAAAACATAGCTTAATAAAATGTGTAATCAGGATAAACATGCCTCGAGTTTTACTCGGATACTGACTCTTTGTGATAAGCAAAATTCTGGTTGTTCCCTAGTGCCTTCTCTATCTCTTCTCCTCTTATTTGTCTTAAATTAATTTAATCATATTTATTTTAAGCTTTTCGTTCACACTGGATTGTGAATACATCCAAAAACCTTTCTTAAGCTGGAAAACTTATTTCTCCCATCCTTTTATCTCTCTTTCGACTGTTTAGATGTTGCGTCTATCCAGTGGCATATCGACTCAATCTTGCTCCCGATTTGATCAGCTCTGCCATCCACCTTGAGTTGCAGGGCCAGCGCATTTGGCTCGAGCAGTCTCCATTCGATTTGGGCATGGATGACGATGTGGTGATCAACACGAGTCTTGAAACTTGTGTAATGCGAGACCACCTGTTTTAGCGTTGCCGTTACAATGTATGATGTCATCTTCGCCGGGACTGTATACGTTTGACTGTTCAGTATCTGACCACCTTGTGGAGCACCATTTTGCAAACGAAAACTTGTCTTTTCCGGAGGAATTAACCATGCAACATAGCCATCTCAGCTCGATCTTACTGGATTCACTAACATCCTCAGTGGTGACAAATTTGTCTTGTGACTAGATTTGCGAAACTAGACTACATATGATTGGTTCCCTAGATTTACTTTCTGCTGGTCCATACTTGCGCGTGTTTATGTATAAGCGCGTGTTTCTACGCATGGGGACATGATTTTATGTGCGCATGATCGTGAAAACTTCTCCAACTCCAACGAGTATCTGTCTGCCATCATCTCCTCCGACACGGTATCATTGTCTTATATTTATGCAATGTCAATGCCCAGGAATTTCGGTTTTAATTTATGAGCTTATTTGCTCGATCATGTTCTTACTTCTTTTTATGTGTGATATGTGATGTGGGCTCTAGCCAAGTTGTCTGGATGGTTTGAATAACACAAAATGCTCAACATGTGACCCAGTCAATGCAAGGCGTATTCCTGTGGGCACTCAAAAGTAGCTTACGGGGATGAGACAAACGCTGTATTTTCCCTCGAAAGTAGGTTTTCCTTCCTGCTTGTACACATGCGCAATTGGAGCCGGCAAGCTTGGGTTGTCAAATTCTGTAAAAACTTGCCGAATATTCATTTTTGAGTTTTATTTAAAAATAAAAAATATTGAATTTTAGCCATGAAATCGACATTGTTCCTAAATATCTTCAGTTACTTGAGCGTGTTGTTAGTCAATATTGAGGCAGTCATTCATTTGCCAGCTAGTTTTTTTAATGAGCTACAGCTAAGAGTATTGGTTTACATGATGACGCATTGAACTACTAATTTTTCAAGAATATTTGTTATTTTATATATGATGTATTCATCATGTTTTATTTAAGGTGATGGACCGAACATCTCATATATATATATATAGATACTGATAGTCTCGAAAGCCAAAAGGAATAGCCAATGCTGTCAGGGCGACTTAGTTGGGCTCACTTTGTCCGAAGTCCTCTACTGTAGTAATTGTCATCATTCCCAGCTTCGGACCGTAGACTTGGTACATTCCAAAACGTTTCGCCGGCGTCGTCAGTCAGTCTTTTCATTCTCATAACAAAGCCACAATTCGTCAGAGACAAATGTTGTCAATTCTTTGACCAACTTTCTGCCGAAACGGCTGTGTTATTATTCCTCTTTCTGTCCTGGTCCATCTTTCCACTCTCGACCCTCTTGTCTCAATCCTGCCATATTACAACTTTTCACTTATTTATATTTCACTCCTCAAGAGGTGTGCCCTTTTCGGCGAGTTTGCTATAACGTCTTCACACCTGGTGTTTACCTTGCCCTTCCCTCCTCGATGGTGTGATAACACTACACTAAATTCGCCAAAAAAGGCACATCGTTAGAGGAGTAAAATAACAACAGGTCAGAAATTGTCATAGGGCAGGAGTGTGATAAGAGGGTAAGGAGTAGATAGATGGGCCAAGACAGAAAGATGAGGGATAGCACAGCTGTTTCGGCAGAAAGTTGGTCAAGGGATTGATTTCATTTGTCTCTTTGATGAGAATTACAAGACTCACTGACGATACCGGTTAAACGTTTTGGAATGTACCAAGTCCACCGTCCGCCACTTTAAATTATACTAGCTACTATTGCAGAGGACTTTAAATAAGGTGCGTCCAATTAAGTCGCCCTGACAACAAAACCAAGTTGTGAAAACGAGGTTAGACCACTTTTATTTATCGAAAGGAGACTTCGACCAAAATATAAGCCAAAGCATCTCGGTCTTCATATCTACGTGAAAATAAGTAATATAGTCGATTGCTATAGCAAACACACCTTTGCTTCAGCGACACCCTCGTCGCAGAAAGTGATATTTTATAAGTCTGGCCTTCTTTGAAGCTCACGTCTGACTTGTGACCCAAGGAAACTCGAGGCGGCGTGGCGTAGTGGTCAAATTGTCGAGACTATACACTGCACTACCCAGGCTCGAGTTCCGCTATGGGTGTTGATGAGGCCTAGGAGAGGTCGAACCTGTAGTCCATCCTGCTTGAGCATAGCTTTTAGGAAGGAAGGCTATGTTAGATTCCAAATAAGCGTGAGGTTCACACATATAAGTGTAC